ATTAGTGAAACTAATTTTCATATTAAAAAAGGTTTGGTTGCAAAACCTCAAGAATAGCATTGGTTTTATCACTCTTACATCATATAATACAGAACTTATCTAATCAAAAGTGCAGGACAATTTTGTTTAGGAGTGAAATTTTAAAATACTACGTTTCTAGGTGTTTTTAAAATATTTTATTTTGACTGAAGTTTACATATAGTAAAACATCCGCTATACATAATATTAATATAAATAACTGAATCAGAGTCTCCACCTGCCACAGACAGTAATACCTATATTCTGGGTCAGGAGAGAACATTACTGTGGCCCAACCAAAACACGTCCAATCCCATGAATCCCCTACTCAGCGACAAGCTCGTTAATGTTTGGTACGTTCAGCAATCGTCAATGCTATATTAAATAATTAAAAAATATATAATCTATACCGCCGAAGAACAAAGTGGGGGAAATAGTAGAGCTTTCAACCGGTCACTGCCATCAGTTTGAATTCGAAAAACAGTACAGTATTTTCCTCGAGCCAAGTGTATAAATAACCTTTTCACTTACTTGAACCAATTGTCGGAGCAATAAACATATATGTGATTATGATTTTAATATTACTAGTAAAGGGAAAGCCATCATAAAATTATAACTGTTTCAATCTATCATCTAAATTAGGGGTCGCCAGCCAACCTTTTACAATTAAGCTACCTACATTAAATACACACTATTTTTGGAAACATTGAAATTTTTAATTTTTAAGATGATCCTGTGACAATACAAACTTCAGTTTTTCAAATACCAAACTCCCATCCATTTTTAATTATTAAGTAGATATTTTTTGGAGGGAATTTTGATTCATCTACATCAAAATTCAAGCTAATAATTTTTGAGTTATGTAATATGATAATATGTCTATGGTAATGGGTTAAGTAGATAGAAGGCTTAGACAAATTGAAAAAATTAGCAATTACTAATGCTTTATCAATAAAAATTATTTTTAAAAATGATCAAGATATAATAAATACAACATTTCATAAGCATGCGCAAACTTTGTTCGTAAAGTATGCGGCTGATAAAATATGCCCCCTCCTCCACCGATATAAATGCCTTTAAAATTAATGTGCATGACTTTGTATTATAAACTTGTGGTTACTACTTTATATTAGAAAAAATAGGTTTTTCATCTTTTTTTGATTAAAAGTATTTTTTTGTTTGATTTACAAACATGTTTATTTAAATGAAAATGTACATTATACATAATTGTTATAATTCAAGCCTTCTCTTCAATGGGTAGGATACGCAATTTGTTTACGAATGTGCGGTAAAGATATTTTTATCAATTTATCAGTGTCACTTAATGCCGAACCACCAGCAAAATGAAAACATATCTATCAGCTGTTTGACTGTCGCTTCTATTATATTCTATGGTGTCAACTACTTAACTATAATAAACATAGTATATTATATTAATCATCAGTATTTAGCAAGGTTAAAGATATACTTGGATATATTTAAGGTATATCTTAGATAGTGGTATTTAGACATCGTTAAGTTAAATAATAGATGTCATGATAGAAATAATCATCGTCATTTCTAGGAAAATATAAATAGTAAATACCTACCTACACCAAAAATAAAACCCGTACTTCCTTAAATTATTGAGAACCGTCCAAAATGAATTTAAAAACAAGCCCATAATCCATATATATCATATCGCATTACCATTTAATAACCCAGTCGAAATTATGAACTGAGACATTATTCATGCGTCCCTAACTCCCAAGCGTCTAGCCGCAGGGTATGCGAGGGCATATCCCATGTGAACGCATATGCTACATTCAACTTTACATTGGTATAGTTTTAATTTTTATAATACCATTTTTAAGGATTATTATCCTTAGGATAAACATTTTAACAACTCAGAAACTACTCATTAGAATTTTGAATTGGATCCATCAAAATTTTCAAAAAAATCACCCACTAAATAATTTTCAGTAAAAAAGGAAGGGTTTCATTTGAAAGTATGGCTTTTAGATCAACTTAAAACTTCTAAATATCAGAATTTGAATAAATGCACTATTCAAGGGAAAAATGGAGATGGGCATGCTTAAAAGTTTCCTGGTATAATGAGGGTTAACAAGTGGTTCTTGAAATAATTAAACTTTAATAAAATCGATCAATATTCTTCTAAAGATCGACAACCTCTGATCTAAATCTTCCCTGAATTGCCAAAATCAGTAGAGTAATTTAAGATATTTGTATTGAGTATGTGACTTCTACATATGACTCAATATTGATGATATTACAAATTAGTAAAAAACCTATAGATTAGATTATCTGATATTAACTGTCATTTAAATATAACAATTCTATTATATCTGCTTACAAAGTATCTATTAAAATAAAAGTATCTATCCTTTCCATTTTTGTTTAGCTGCATTGTTCACAATTTTTTACTGTCAAAATCAAGCAAGTACCTATTGTTTACCTATCTTCAATTGTACACAGTGTCTCTAATATATTATAGTTGTTCCTTAATTTTACATTTATATAGAATAGCTTTACCTATCACTCATTATTAGCCTAAATGACAAAATAAAATACAATACAGAAAATGAACAATCAAATTAATAACTATTTCATTATCTGTAATCACTGGCAACCCTACATAGAAACAATAAAATATTAGATTTTCGTAAACCAAAACAAAATCCATGTGTTATCCCACCCTATACATTTTGTATAGGTTTTTATTTCACCAAAATAATAATTTTTTTAAAAAAGCTCAATCATATTCTGTACAAAAACAAATCCCTTTAGTATAAATATGATCTGCAGCAAACATTTTAACTATGGATTTAATGTCTTAACTAAAAACAGTTAAATTATTTGATGATAAATTATCTAATTTGTTTAAGAAGATACCCACAAAAAAATTCTATTTAAAAAATGTCAACACATCCTACATTCTTACAAATTAATGTTAATCATATACCATGCATATTTTGGTTTAAACGCTTTCATTAAAGTATTAAATATTAGTTAATACCTATAAGAAAACATAAATTTTTATTGTATTTAGGTATGTCTATAAAAAGTGATTCAATCACAAATGTATATACCACTTTTCATTAAAAAAAATATATAAATAAATAAAAGCTATATTCACACCATATTTACTTATTTTTAATAGGTGCAATTGAATAACATGCAAATAAAATAAGCAGTCAAAACAAGGTTTGTTAGTTTTTAATTATTTTAAAAAAACGTACCCACGTTAACACAATATTCTATTTATGTCTAGCTTAATGATTTATCAAAATTGCCTTAAGTTAGAAGTTTTAAATGCTTATTAAAACAGAATATTCAAAACTACAAACCTCAATTATATCTCATTAAAATAAATAAGAAGGTACTAACAATTAGAAAACTCAATCTGTGTAGATACCTAACTTTTAATACTAGATTATAACCCTCAAATGTTCTTGATATTTCAATAAATGTATTATATTTTATCTAGTTTCCTGATTCTTCGCCCCCCTCTCATATTCAATATGTAACTAAAGAAAATCAACCAATAAAATAATCTTGAAGACAATGGATTAAACTGATATAAACTATAATTAAGTCAACTTGTCATTAGGTAGAAAATATAATAATTGGTAATCATTAAAAAAAATACTCTAATAAGGTTAACTATGATATAAATGTTGATAATTTTAGTAAAAAATATATTCAACATTAGAAAACAAACTTGACAAAGTAAAAGAACAAGGGTGAAACGTGGAGATAAAATATGATAAGATTATTTTAATTTTAATTTCATTGACTATCTACTGACTACTTATGGGGGTTTAGTCAGTAGTCACAATAAAAAATCAAGATACCCATCGAATAAAAAAAAAATTATATATAATTTATGTAGTTCTACCCAATACAGCTAGCAATGTACTAAACATAAATAAATAACTATTGGTAAACATGATATGATTGAATGTGCACTACTTACGTCCACTAATTCTTGAACGCTAGACTTGAAATTCTTTTTCGACAAATTAGCAACGATATAGCTGATTTGCGACAACGTATATGACAATGAATCCAGGTTCATAGTTCCATGAATGCCGATTCGAAAGCTTCAATAGGTTTTGAAGCTTTCTTCTTTGGGTGGAGAAGACCGTGCCGACGACGGTGAGTGTCAATGGAGTTCCTATCGTTAATTCGATAGACGTGCTGTAGAAGATGACCAGATGGAAGTTATGACGTCTGAACTCGAAGTAGACGTGTCGCGATGGCGGCTGTCAACTCGAGTCTTTGTTCAGGCACACTCAGAGGGCGTAAATGCGGGCTCGCGTGGACCAAGATGGAAACCGACGGCGGCGGTCGGGCCGGTGTCCGCTTCGGCGATAAAGGCCGAAAACGGGTAGACACCGGTCCACTCGGACGGGGACGTCCGTTGTCCCGAGACCGAATATCACATATTATCCGTGGTGAAGATGGGATAAATCACGTAAAACAAATCCCTGGGTGGCGGCGGTGTCGCAACAAACGGCCAACGGAAAAAAAACAATGAGCTCGACGGTTAAAAAAAACGTAAGAGTGTAAAATACGAAACCGACTCAATAAACGGCAGAGAAAGTGACTAATGAGAAATGGCGATGCGTATAGGTATTCGTATCCGATACAATATTGTAAAATATAAATCAAATGTTATAAAAGTAAATAATAATAGTAATAATAATAATAAATAATAACAATGACGACCAGGCGTAAAAGGAAGACGAGGAAACGACAAACCACGAACGGCTGTCGACAAAAACGAATACGAATAATGTTTTCCGTGAATACAGAAAATATTTTCCGAGCGTCCGCGACCGATTCGTCGCGAACACGCGCAGTGTAGCCGGTCACGACAGACGACAGGCACACGGTACCAACCTAAATCCAGACGGTCAGTCAACAAAAATTTCATTCTACAATTCACTGGTGGAAATTATATTATTTCCTTATCGTTTCCCTGAGCCGGCGATCATAATTCGTAGATAAGAATGGACACTGAGGTAAATTTAATTGCTCTATCGGTCACGTGCGTTCGGAAATTGTAATTCGTATCCGAAAAGCGACTACTGAGTGCACGCCGAGAATCTACTCGGCCATAGCGATATAAATTAGCCAATAACAGAAAATAAAAATTTGATTTATAATATTCCCCAATTTTGTTCTACGGTTTATAGTATTAAGTGATTTTACTTCAACCCATTGTCGCAGTCGAAGTACCACGAGTTTGTTCAAATGTTTTTTGCTTGCTACCGTTGTTATTCCTACACAAAATGTGAGTAACAATTATAAGATGATTGTACAGGGTCCCACATAAGGGGGATAATACTGTTCTATAGTATTTTAATTTTTAAGCAAGTTAACAATTTTAAAATACTCAAATTTAATTTCTTGCCTAATTAGAACTAAAAAAAAGTGTTACAATGACACGAAAGTTCAAGCCAATACTAATTCAGTAGACATTGTTTATATAATGTAGTTGCTTTTTTTTATTTAATACAACACAACTTTTGATCAAAATTCTGATATAAGACTCATTTACTATTATAAATTAATTCCTAAAGGAAATTAAGTTGTTTTTTGTTTATATTCAACTTTAGATGAAAAGGTTGTGTGAACCCAGATCTATATAGATAAGAAATAATGTATACCCACAAAGTAACCCACATGAATGTGAAACAACCATTTTATGTTGACCTACCTAGGTACATTAAGCTCTATAAATTATGATTTAATTCATGTAGAACATCCAATATTTACATGATAATTTTCTGTTTCAGAATTCTATAAAATTCAACATGTCAAAGGCTCTTGTAAGTTTAGTCACAGGAGCTGCTTCCGGATTAGGAAAAGCCACTGTTGAACGGCTTGTGAAAGATGGATACAAAGTAATAATGTGCGACTTACCGTCGTCGGAAGGAAAAAGTATTGCTGAAACAATTGGTCCCAACACTAATTTCGTTCCTACTGATGTACGATCTGAAACTGATGTTCAGAATGCTATTGATACATGTCAACAACTCCATGGAAAATTAAACTTGATCGTCAATTGTGCTGGTATAAGTGTTGCACGCAAAGTATTTAATTTCAACAAAAGCAGTGCCCATAGCTTAGAAGAATTTACTGATGTACTTATGGTAAATACTGTAGGCAGTTTCAATGTTATCCGATTAGGTGCAGCACTGATGGGAAATAACGAAACTGACGAAAATGGTCAACGAGGAGTTGTAATCAATACATCAGGATATTCTGCTTATGATGGGCAAACAGGCCAAGTTGCTTTTGCAGCCAGCAAAGGAGCAATTGCTGCAATGACATTACCTCTTGCAAGAGATATGGCATCCCAAGGCATTAGGCATTGTTCAATAGCTCCAGGATTATTCGATACTCCTTTATTAAGTCATTTACCAGACAAAGTCAAAAACTATTTTGCAGATATGACACCATTTCCCAAAAGATTAGGACAACCAGAAGAGTTTGCAAATCTTGTTGTAAGCATTGTCAATAATCCATTTCTAAATGGAGAAGTTATTAGAATAGACGGTGGAATCAGATTTATCTAAATCATTTCTAGTACCTATCGGCTATCGTAATGTATTTTAAGTTTGTGCTTCTCCATATTATATTAATGTATTTAATGTTTAATTTTAGTAGTTGTCAATAAATAGTAAAATAAAATGTATCTATCATTTTTCATCAAGTATTTTCCTTTTTTATATAGAAATTACTTATCGGCTATCTCATTATCACATAACTGATATAACTCATCATAGAGCATAACATGTTATATTATACACGTATGCACGGTTAATGATTGAATCAGGGTTAGGTCACTGATTGTCCATTTATTATTTTTACCAGTTTAAGAAGGGGTATTTGTAATTGAGAAGAGAAAAATAAATAATATTTTTTAGTCATCCAGATAGTCAACCACATGTCCACACCACTCTATCGTACATTAATTTAATATAATATTTAAGAACTGTTTTTGACACAAAACGAATTTCTCAAAAAAATATACTAACCTACTTAATGAAGAAAACATTAAAAAGATATTAACCTAAAATTAATATAATTTATTAAAAAAAATTTTTAACATGAAACAAAACTTAAAACAAAACATAAAATTGTTTCTGTCTATATTTTATAAAAACATACATTTGTAATTAAAATTAAGTATAAAACTCAAATAAAAACAGTTTTAATTGGAAAATATATAAATATATTATATAATAATAATAAAAACTACAATTATAAATGCATTTATTTTAAAATAAAATAACTTAAATATTGTTTTACTTAAAATTTGAAATATACACAATAACAATGTTAGTGTAATGTTTAGATACAATAAACAAATACCAGTCAAGTTGAAACCGTTTTAACAAACGTTATTTATACAGTTGTAATATTATTGCAGCACTAATATGTGCACCCGGAACAGAAATTAAATACGTGTATTATGGTTTATTTGTGGGGCCACGAGATAATTTCTATCATTATACCCGATTTCTTATGTTAGTATAAATAAACATTTCAGATTTTACACTTTGAAGATTTAACCAAAAAACAACAGGATATATAAAATACTCTTGGAACAAAAAATATAATGTTATATGTTTATATTAATACTTCTTAAAAAAAAACGAAAGATGTAATTTTTCTAAACATTATTCAAAAGTAAAAAGAAATAAAATATTTTCTAATAAATTATTTTAAACATTGTTCAACATAAATATAAAAAATTTAAATCTATAATTCAATTGTGTATTAACAAAAAAATTGATTAAAGAAAAATTAGGAAAATTGATTAAAAAACCAATATCAATACATAAACTTTAAAACTATAATCTCTTAATCTCTGCTTGTAAAATATTCATTATATTATACTTATTTTTAGGTGCACCAGTCTTATTATAATACTATGTTGAAGAGCGTCTGACCACAGTACCTAAATACATCTTGTTCTATTGCATGCTAAGATTTAAAAATTTTGGCGTTTTACTAACTCGCTTAGCACCAGCAGACTCCCAAATTGTCACCGTTCCGTCTTCTGTTGATATGTATAAATGTTGAGAGTCACTCGAATAGATAATACTATAAGTTCATCAAAATTCAAATTAAACAATTGAAATTTAAAAAATTTATTTATACAACTTACGCTATGACTGCTCCATCAAAATGAATAATTGGTATTTCGCTAACAAAAGACAAATCCCATGTGCTCCATAATCTGGTTAGAGTATACACATTATTAAACCACACATAAAATGTACTTATTTCATTTTTAATTACTTGACACTCCCATCTTCTAATCCTGTTGCAATTATGTTCACTGATATTCCTTCGGGAGCATTGGAAAAGCATACTGCTGTAATTTTTTTATCACTTTCTATACTGCCAACATATGAGGCGTTAATAGTTTGAAGTGTCATAATTGATTTTCCACTATTACAATTATAGGCAATCGTAACAATATCACCAAGAATTTCATTGATGGAAACTAAATTTATCTAAACAAAATTATAGTATTGATTTAAATTGCAAAATAAAATTTTTAATATTTTATTACTGGGGACTTCATGGGCTCCAGTGATCTCACATATGCAATATCATTTAGATCCCAAATAATTGAATTTCCTTCGTTATCACAACTAACAGCAATACTAAATGCTGGACTCAAAGCTATACAAGATATTTTTGCTCGATGACCAACAAGAACAGTTGGTTCTTTAAATATCTCAACATTACCAACAATGATGTCAAAATAAAATCTGAAATAGATGACACATTACTAAAATTCAATTTTTAATTAATTTAATTTTTTAAGTTAAATAATATTAAATTTATAGTTAAAAGTTACATTGCCACTTATAATAAGCGGGTGCGATAATAATAATAATCAATACTCTATTAAAATTTAAAAGTTAAAAATCACAGTCAGCAGCAAATATTTTTTATCGGGAGCAGTCAACCAATACTTGTTTGTCGCTCCTGCAGGGTCACCCATTTATATACCTTGCTACGCTCCTGCACACAAGTCAGCCGCCGACTATGCTTCTTAACTTGAATAGAGTAAAGGACAATATTTTCATACCGGCAACAGTGCATAGAAATATAGGTCTTGATTTCAAATAAAATTCCTCCCCTCCCCCATATTTTCTTAGTAAAATATTATGTTTATTGCCTTCACAAATACTTACTAATATTAGCAATGGGTAAATAATTAAATTTTTCGATAAGGGGCACTAGAAATGTTGGTACAGGCAGCTGTTTACCCTACCCTTACACAGGTTCCCTAGACCCAGTGCCGCAACCAGAGATGTAAGGGTCCAAGTGCGAATTAAACCCTAATGTTTGAAAAGGGCCCCCTAAATATAATAATAGGGTCCTTTTGGGGAGTGAGGTGTAACCCTATTAATTGTAGAGCCGCCATAACCTCCACTGTTGATAAGCTCTCTTATGAGAAGCTCTATGCAAATCAAACATAAGTTTAGTCAAGTATTTTATTACTTGTATACATGTATGATTCCAGATTCAAAACCAATCCAAACATAAGGACAGTGTGGTGCAGTGACTATAGTGCTGATGTTGTCTGTAGAAAAAAATTTAAATGCTGGTTTAGAGGGGGCTTCTTTACGCTGTTTAATTCTAACCACACTATCAAATTCACTCCAAGTAAGTATCGCTGCAGCCATAACAGTAACTCCTTCATTTAGTAATGTTAATGATTTTTCCTAAAATATAATACGAGTAAAAATTAAATTAAGAAATTAATAGTTTTTCAAATATAATAATTTATAATATTATACTATATATTATAATTACTTTTGAATATGTTAAGAGTAAAGCAGAGTTGTTTGATAATCCAAATACATCATTGGTAAGTAAGGGCACAAAGTCAGTAACCAGAGTCTTGTGTTTTCTTTTCCAAATATACATGGGGACATTTTCCTCTGGTGATCCGACATAATTTCCCCATTTTAAATTTTTTAAGCCTACAAAAGAAATTATATGAAATAAAAACAAAGGAAATAAACATGATCAAAGACTCTAAGAAACAATTTACCTGCGATAACATTTCGACAATTAGTGTTTTTCGTCACATTTTTTGGAGAGTAATCATCAACTGTCATTGGGTGTGGAAAGCGAAATAACTGTCTTGGAGTTTGTCCATAAGTGCTGACCATAGTTTTAAAAGCAGATCTCGCTACTGGATCTTCTGTCTCATCAATATGTGACCCATAATAAGTAGCTGGGTGAAACACATTGATTGCCTCAATTGCCGCTTTACCAGTTTGTTTGTAACCAAATATTAAGTCTATCCAATGTGGTAAATTTTCACTAACTATTTCAGATTCCAGAAGTTGTCTTTAAATAAGGATTAAATAGTATCATAATAAAATTAAATCAAATTGTTGAATAAATAAATATTTTATTTTATTTACCTTTGAATAAGTACAAATAATCTTGGATTGTTTTGAGCCCATATTGGTAATTTAACAGAATCAACAACTTCTCCAGATTGTTTAGCTCCAAAATTTAATTGCTCAAAGTTTGTAAACATTTCAGGTAAATAATAAAACTCTGGTACAAGTTCCTTCAAATCAGTAGTTGATTCGTCGGATGACAAACGCCAGGTAATTTCCATTGAATGAAATGATCGATCTGGTACATCAAAGTTATTATCCTGTTGCAAAACAGATGTTAGGATTAATTACATTGTTATAGAGAACATTTAACTGTATTACTTGATATTTAATAAACATTTGAGTGTATGGTGGGACTCTGATTAAGAAATGTAATACTGTTCCAGAGTTACTGTAATGTGAACTATAGTGATGTGGATCAGTTCCAAAGCGATGAATATCTTCTTTCAAATACTAAAATGAAATTAATTATAAATATACTTAACCCACAGATAAGAATCAAAAATATTACATTGTAATGTTGAATATAATGAGCTTCTTTCTTTTTATTCTGAATTGCCATAGGCCGTCTCAAATCCCTAGTATTAAAAATACATAAAATTATTAATGATAAACATCATCAGTCTTTGAGTCTTTTAATATTTACAAGTGTCTATATAACTTTTAGTACTTTATAGTTTACCTGTATGTGGATAATTGATTCAAATCTAATTCTGTAGTATTATAACTAGCTAAAACAAATGGCATCACAGGATATTGCATTAAATCATTATAAGAACGTGCAGCCATTTTATTCAGGATTGATAAATATTCCATATTGGTGATTTGACGTGTCCTCCATAAATCAACTGTTTCACTCAGTATTTCACTGGTAATACGATTTGGCAATGGAAAATTCAATAAATAATTTCCAAATTCATCTCTTTCCTGAGATCAAATACCAATTTTACATGACGGAATACATAAAAAAAATTATAGGTACCTTTTGAGAATGAAAAGCAATTAAAAATGTTTTTCCATTTGTAAGAAATATTTCAACAGCTTTTTCTTTAAGCGAATATCTGCGGTTATGTATTTCTTTGACTTCGTCAAATTTAAGGACATGTGAATAATCATTCTGTAAAAACTAATAATATACACAAAACAAATATAACTTATATACTATTATAATAATAACTTTTAATTCATTTCGTAAAATTTTACATTTGATATGTTTTCAGTAGGAACAATATAAATTGCATTTTCACTGATTAG